ACAAGTCCCAAATAAATTCATTTCTGCAAACCTAAAGCAGAAGTAGTACTCTTCTCCTGGAAGGAAGGCCAAGAGAAGCCAGAATTCCACACAAGCCATTAACCATCAAAGCCATCATAATGCTGGGAGGGTGGCACAAAAAACACAATCATCAGAATAAGCACATAAACTTACATTTTAAGTGTGTAGCCAAAGAAGGGGTTTCAACGGGGTTTTTATTATAATTCTTACAAGAAAAGGGAAACAAGGAACCTTCTGTCAGGCATATTCCTCCAAGAGTTCAGCTGGTGACTCCATGACTCAGGAGTTTTCAGCTCCTAACCACCACTACAAATGCAGAGCACTATGCTTCAGGTTAATTCAGTCGAACCTAATGAAACTTAGGTTTCTGCTAAGGAAAAAAAAAAAGAGAAATTTATTCCACAAACAGAACTTCACCTTTCTAATTAAAGTCCTCTCAACTACATCTTTCAAATCCTCACAGTCATTTCACTTATAGAAACACATCTTCCTAAGGAAAGAGGAAAGCAAGATCGCCAGGGGGTTGGAATTCTGTCTCTTGTGATCTTCTGTTTGTGAATTATTAAACCTTGCCTGTGACTTTTGATGACGTGGTACCTCATTACAAGAGGAAGCCAGTGAAATGTAGAGCAGCCATTATTCTCTCCTAGCAACAAAGGCAGCAGTTAAATAGCACGTGCTGTGCTTAACCCAGACCAGGTAACAAAACCCAAAGTTCCCTAAAAACAAGTGCATCACACTTGACAAGATGAATTGTACTTGTGTAATAGTATTTCAAACTAAAAATAGGGAAAAGAATATGAAATTTTCTGAACTGACACTCTAGAACTGACCTTTATTCCCGGTCCAGATTTTTTTTATTTTATTTTAGAAAACTTGAAAGGGAAAGCCATTAAAGAGACAGAAACAGTGAAATGTCATTTTGATCTCAAACTAGGTGACTTGGCAAGATAACACTGCTAGATTTTAGTTCTTCCTCTTTTTGCCTCAGATATCACAAAAGAATGCAAAGTCAGAAAGAAATGTAGAAGCACCCAGATTCCTATAGCAAGAACACAGGCAGTTTAAGAGTTCAAACATTCCACAGAGTGTGTTTTAAAGAGCACGAAGAGTTGGTGTAAATGTTCTTGCAGTGGTCCAAGGCAACATCTCCAGTCATATCAGCAAATCCACTTAGAAGAGAATTCATCCCATGACCCAATTACAACACAGTTTTATTTTGGAGATCACTCAGCTCTGCCTCAGCAACAAAACAAGAGTCTGGAGCCATCCCAGTGCAAGTCTGGTTGCAGAAAGTTTTCACACATACAAAGCCATAATTATGTTAAGTCAGCACATTTTTGCCTCCTATAAAAGCCACACCATGATTAAAAAAAAAAAAAAAAAAAGCAGAAGAGAAAAGTAATGGAAAAAAAAAAAAAAAAAAAGCAGAAGAGAAAAGTAATGGCTCTCTATTAAAAAAAAATGGGTCACCAGTAACCTAAATTCTAGCTGGTAAGAGATGGGGAAAGAGCTAACTAGAAATTAAAGAGAGAATTCAAACAAGGTTCAACTTCAGGATACATCTTTGCAATTGCTGTTACTAAGTGAGTCTCAAATTGTATTCCAAAATTTTAGTCACACATTGTTGCCTTTCCTCTCTTGCCACTGCTGTCTGCATCACAAGAAATGAGGTGACTCCTTCATTCACATTAACAGCAGCAGCCTCAAATTGCAAAGGTTTTCTTTTCAGCTGAATCTGAACTTCAAGGAGTACGTATCAACCACACTCATAAAATATTTACAGGTTTGTCTCACTTCAGACAGATTTCTTCATTATAATGTTTAGAGCTGGAAAAGGTGAAGCAAACAGAATATTAAGCCAATTCTCGTTCATCTAAGGATAAGATTTACAGAATTCCAAGTCCTGAAATTTAACAAATGTTGCTTGTTAATTTTAAGGTCATTGGTGGCTAAATAAAGATACCCAAAGACTAACAGAGATGCTGAGAAGCTTTTAAAAGGAATTTTAAACTTACCTGTCTTCTCTGGTTTACAAGTACAGCAAAAATAATTAGCAAAGTATTTTGCCTTTTTTCTCCTCAAAATTATGGTGCATTTATACAAAATACTCAAGTCCAGCAGGCACAGAGATTCCTGACAACCTCAACTACACCCAAGTGTTAAAATGTGGAAAGGGCTTTTGGCCAGACAACAGTATCACTTTTGAAGTCTTCAACTTCTCTTAATCTGTGAGCTCCTAATGTTCTGAAAATTGGGCTTATTGGCAACAGGCTGTTTTTCTTCATTAACTTTGGGAAACACTGAGGTAATATCCCAGAGTTCACAAACTGAAAGCCACTAACTGATGCATGGCTGGACCCCAAGGAAGCATCCAAATGAGGGCAGGACTGCTGTGGCTGACATCCAGCTTTTTAGTCTCTGCAGACTCAGTCAAGATTTTTGCCCCTTGAAAATTCTGTTCCTCTTACATGACATCTGCAAGTCAGAAGCTGAAGGATATTTGGAATGCAGCATGTGGGAAGCTCTAAGTATTCCTGTACACTGTGTGATTAGTGTGCAAAAGGGCAAAGTCCATTGGTCTGCAAGATTCTAAAACACTTACTACCATAAGAAACAAATTTCCTTCACAATATTTTAAAAGCTTACAATAAATTAGAATTGCTTTTACCCGAATGTTTTTACACTAATAATTTCATGGTAAGTCCCCAAAAGGACTTTCCCAAGCAAGAGAGAAGGTCAGCACTTACCAAGAGCACGAAACAGCAATATTGAGCTTATCATTTTCTAAAGCATTAAGACAGTTGTGCCATGTTTACCTGAAAGCCTAACTTTAAAATGAAGTTGAGTAATTCCAGTTCCAGTGGAAGAAAGTCTAACACAACACAGTATTTGCAAGTGACAGCCTGTAGATGGCCAAAATCCAAGATCTCTACTGTCTATCCATCATCATGTATCCCACAGCACACTTACAAAACCATATGCATTAATTTTTGACTGGCAATGTTCTACTCTGTCCATCAGATAAAATACTTCCCATATCTTCATGTGTATTTTTTACATTGCTCAACAGTAAAGGCATTCCACCCCTGGGGGAAAAAATGGCAAAAAAAAAAAATGTTGCCAGCAGTTCTCAGGTACAGCTTTGTTCAACTTTACCTGTAGTATCTTCATTGCCATGAAGTATTATTATGTATCACACTTACCTTTTCCATAAAATCCACTGTTTGGACAACTGACAATTATTTTACCAAACAAGAATTCTAGTAACCAGATTAACAACTTCTGGATAATTTTACTATTTTTTTCTCATAAAAAGAAGAGCTTTCCTAAGAATACAGACATTTGTCTTCCTCAAATTTATTCCAATGCTGACGAACGCTCCAGAAAAATAAACACCTCTAAAAATAACAAGCCTTACAGATCTATTTTAAAACTATGTACTTTAAGTTCATGTATTCTGGTTTTCTTACCTTAACCGTGGGGACTAAGAAAGCTAAAGAAATGAATGTTTCTTCAATAAACTGGGATGGGAGGGAAGCAGCTACCCCATGAACTGCCATTATTGTTAGCCTGTTTCGGGGGGGCACCCATAAAAGCACATGAGACAAGTTCCTTAGCAGAAAGAAATCATGCCAATAGAACTGTTATCAGAACAGCAGAATTATTTCCTGTAGCGTCAACTCTGTCAAACCTAAACATCTATTGTGCAGGGAAATTTACATGTATCTGGACACCATTTCCTAAAAAATTGTTTCCAGAACTGCTAGACAACATGAGGCCTTTCAATCATGCATAAAAAGTAATCTAATGTTTCATAGCATGTTTGGTGGATCTAAGCAGTTACAGGAGGCTTTCTAACTCCACTGTTGCTTTTCATCCCCCTTAAATTACCAAATGTAACAATGTATGTAATAAAAAATACTGTTTCTCTTCTACACTGTGTTCATTATCATTTCACCACCCAAAGTTTAGGTTTCTCTCTTTACTTGCTTTACTTTTTCCTATCCAAACAGAGGCACAAAGATAGATTTTCCTGTTTTTTTAGCAATGACACCAATTCTGCCAAAACCTGTTTTCTCTGCTTGCCAGTACACTCACATTTCAAATAATTTCGATTTTAAGTGCCCCAACCATAAAATCTTTCCAAAACCGCTTCTCCATAGTTCACAGCTGTTGTTCCTATTACATCAGTTGAGTTCGTTTCAGTTATTCCTCCTTTTTTCCTTGCAAAGGCACAACCAGAGTGATACCAAACACCCAGAGAGCTTCCTTAGGAGGAGCAGAGGGGCTGAAGAACACCGCGAAAACGCTTCACAGCAGCGCCCAGAAACCACGAGTGCACCGAGACACCACGAAACCGGTTTAATCTACAAGTATTCAGACGATGCACACGAACGTTTTAGAGTGAAGCAGATAAAACACACCCGCACATAAAACAGCGGCACGGCTGCCGCCCGCCAGCGGGACGCGGGTGTTAACGGGGCAGCGCCGGCCCGCGTGGCCGCTGCCCTGCGGCTCCGCCCGCCCGGGCCCCGCTGCGGCCGCTCAGCCCGGCCCCGGGCGCTGCTACCACGCGAGGCAGCCCCCGCCCAGGCCTGTTGGGCCCCGGGACGCCGCCGCCCCAGCCCCGCTCACCTGTGGGCGGCGGGCCCGCCGGCTCCCCCCGCTCCGTCCATCGCGGCCCCGCCGTTGCTATGCGCCCCCGCCCGCCGCTGCCCTTAGCAACGGCGCGCGGCACTGAGGCGCGCCGCCATTGGCCGGGGCAGCGAGCACGCCGCCCGCCGATTGGCCGCGGCGGCGCGCACGCGCGGCGGAACGCAAGGGCCGCCCCCGTGGCTCCGTGCGGGAGGCGCCCGCCGCCTCCGCCGCGAGCGGGGAACGGTCCCGGCGGAAACGGCGTGCGGCACCGAGCCCTTGCCGAACACACGTCCCCAGGGAAGACCGCCCCAAATGACCCCCCCCAACCCCCTTCCGTCGCCAAGACCCTCCCCGCGCCCGCCCCGGCGTTTGTCGGAGGCGCTGCCAGGCGCAGTACCGGGCCGGGCTGAAATCAGGTCCCCTCTTAGTCCCCTGAGGGCCATCATCTGTCCGGGCGTGTCCGTGCACGCAGCGAGTCGCTGCTCCCGCCAGGTCAGGTGTGGGGCTGTCCCCTCGGGAGCTCCATGTTTGCCTTGACCAGGATGTCCGCAGCGCTCAGCTTCCCTTGCTCCCGCAGGTACTTCATTATGTGCGGCCGCCGCCTCCAGGTGACCTTCATTCCATACTCGTGCTCGGGAGTATCTGCAACCAGTACTGCTGCCGCCTCCCCTCTCCCACAGGGCTCAGTACCAAGTGGCAACGCTTCTTCTGGGTGCCAGGCATGACTACTTGGTGATAGAGTGTTGCTGCATCTCCCATTCCTTGGGGAAGGAACCTGTGCAGCCTCTGCATCTGATGGACTAGGGACTTCTTGCTCCACGGGCTGGGGAGCAGGCCCTCCACAGTTCTCTAGACTCTTCACCTGGATGTTGGCATTTGCTGCTGTCCCTTTCTTAGGCTGGTTGGGAGAGCACTGTGCATTCTTCCTCAAGCAATTTGGATCATCCAACGGAGGAACCGCATGTCCTTTTGGATTCTCAAAAGTTAAAGGAGGAAATCTGCAGGCTGCAGCTCCTCGTGCATGAAATGAGCTGTGGTTGGCATCCTGATTATAGGACTTCTGAGGACCACGATGCTTCTTCTGGCGTGCTTTCAACACCAGTGGCTTAGTTGTGTCAAATTGTGGGCACACCTGAAGGGAAAGACATAATAATAAGATAAAACCCCAACCCTTTCCTACAGGCAATTCTACTTCCCCACCTTTTTCCAGTGTGTTCATTGAATAATCTGTTCTGCAGCAAAGCAAATGAATCACTAACAAAGCTGCTATGCATGAGATGCCTCTGAACTTCAACAATATGTTCTGCCACTGTTCTGTGGAAAGTCATTGGGGTGCAAGTGAGTTGATCACTGGCAGCTCACAAAGAACTCAAGATCTGGGTTTTAAAAGAAGTCTAAGTGATGTCTTCTCCTGTAAACCCTGCAGATTTAAGAAAGTTCAGAATGGATCCTTTTTGTTTCTGTTTCTTAGCATAACTCAAATAGATTTAAAGAACTAAATCCTCAGCCTTCCCAGAGAAGTAGAGGCTGAACAGGGAGAGCAACACAAAATGACTGAAGAATGCCCACTTAGCTCAATCCCCTTAGATTGTGTTAATACGATGTTCAAAATCTTCCCCCAAGCATCTGTTTCAAAACAGACTTAACTGCTGTATTGTGGAGTAACAGATCACCCAAAATCCACTTCTACAATCAGCTTCCTATAGAAAAGATGGTCCAAGCTCAACAGTCTATATTTCTTTGAATGATTCTGGACTCAAACCCTGGAAATCCTTTTATTACAGTGTCCTTTGAATTCCTGGTTGTTAACAAAAAAGTCAGACTCTGTTTCAGGTTCCAGTTTGCCTTTCCCAAGAGCACACCAAACTGAGTTCTTGCTCCTGTAACTACAGATCTCCTTCAGCATTCCTGAGTCACTGCATAGTTCCTAAAAACACTGAGTGCAATTTAACTAAGGATGGTGATTGTCTGATGTGCAGCTGAACTGTTTGAATCCAAAGCCATTGTGCAGGAAAACAGAAATGATTCTGTAGTAATTGTATACTGACACATACTTAACATAGTCCCTGATTTTAAGGATATGTCCTCCTGGCTTCAGTGAACATGTAGGGTAGGTTTTACCTGTGCAGGAACCTAGCAGTGGAAAAGGTATGAAAAACTTAGATAATGCCAGAAAGAGAGGAGCAGAAAATCAGTTTCCATTGAAACAATTTGACAGACACTCTGCAGAGGATGCTTCCAGAAGTTACAAACCTACCACATTTTCCAAACTGAGAAATATTTAACAGTTTCAGTACCAATAGCTTCAAACAAATTTCAGAATACTTGTATTTTAGGAATCAAAGAGCAACCAGAGTGGATGTTTCCACCTCTTCCAAACAAAATGAATGCTTATTCACAGCAGTTATTTTACTTAGTGATTCACAAACTGAAGAGCTAACTGCCTCAAGCAGATAGAAAAAAAAATTTAAAGAGGAAAAAATTGAAGATGTCCTACTTCAAGATTAAGGCATCACAAAAATACAAAGGAATGTTTCATGCAGGTCTGAAACCACACTTCCTGACCTGCTTTGTGAAGAGCAGAGCCAAGCAGCAGTAATGTTTAAACAGAGCTCCCCTAGGTGATGACTACTGTTGCATAGGAACAGTCTGTCTTTGCTGCAGCTGTTTGCTTTAAAAAAATAAATCTTTACATTACATGATACAAGGAGTATTTTAGGACATGGCAAACAGTCCCAAGATAATGAACCCATCAGAAGATTGGTATGGAGAGAAACTACTCAAAACACAGAAATGGAAAGAGGGCAGGTTAGAACAAATGATTCTGAAGTGAAAACCTATGTTCTCTAAAGTTAGCAGTGTCAGATTTAAACAATACACCCAGTACTTTAACATGTAACATTTAGAGTTCAGCAGTTATTTCAAACAGCAAGCCGATAAGAAAAATCTCCCCTAATGTTCATTTCGTGCAGAGTTTTTGGTTGCCTAGGAAAACAGTGTTTTCCTGATGGGAATAATTTTTCTAGAAGACAAATACTCATTAATCAGTAAACACTGCATAAGTTTATGTCTTCAACTAACCAAGACCTTAGTGCTTATTCTTGGAATGTAAAGCAACTCAAGCACTTATTTATGCTTTAGACTGATAGAGGGAATTCAGGTCTGGGCTAATAATTTTCCAGATCCAGAACAGATAACTTTCTGTTAAGACATACAGGAGCAACTGGAAAACTGTTGCTGTGGGATGCAGGAGGAAAGATAATTTATACCAACCCAGGCAGCAGAGGTGTTCAGGTCCACACGTTTTGTAGGCACACGTCTGGGATTCTCAGCCAAATGCAGTGGAGCTTCATAGCAATGGATGGGCCCTGCCCTTGGCTGCTCAAGGAAAACCAGCTCTGCCTTCCTGGCCTTGTGGGTACACTTCTTCTTTGGAGGCATCAAAAGGTGTGGTAAAACTGCTTAGAAACCTCATGATGCTTGTTGGAGCCAATTGAAGAAAGAAGGAAGCACCCCGAGGAGATGCTAAAGTACTCTTGAATCTGTAGAAGGCAAATAAATGGATTTGAAGAAAGACTTGTTTGGAAACCTCAGATACAGTTTATAACAAAAGCAAAACATTTATGCAACAGCACAGTGTACACATCTCAAGGCAGACTTGTTCCCAACAGTAGTTCTTGAACCTTTTGTCAATTTTCAGGTGGATTTAGAAATGCAGTGCAGGAATGGGAGCAGATGACCTACTGATCCAGCCATGTCAAATCAGCTATGAAAAGGAAAACCCAAAAAAACTTATTTTCATTTTTTCAATTCAATCTTGCTTGTAATGCCAAGGGCTAAGATAATCAGAACTCTTTCCCTTTCTGGTTGCTAACTACCTGTACATTTTAACTTCAAGAGACTAAGTTTGTTATTTTTCTTTTTTACAAAACAGAGTTGACATCTCCCTCCTGTATTCTACAGATCTTGCATGATTTGTTTGCTTTGCCTAATGAATAAGTTTGAACTGAAGTAACATTGTATTTCATTTTCTGTTGGAAAACACATCACAGAATCAATTAGGTTGAAAGACCTCTCAGATCATCAAATCCACCTTTAGCCAGACGCCACCATGGCAACTAGACCATGGCACTACCTGCTACACTTCAGGGACAGTGGCTCCACCTCCCTGGGGAGCCCATTCCAATGTCTAATCACCTTTCCTGTGAAGAACTTCTTCCTAATGCCCAACTTAAGCTTCCCCTGGTGCAGCTTAGGACGATTTCCTCTTGTTCCATCACTGGGTGCCTGGGAGACAAGGCCAATCCCCACCTGGCCACAGCCTCCTCTCAGGCAGCTGTAGAGAGCAATAAGGTGCCCCTGAGCCTCCTCTTCTCCAGGCTGAACACGCCCAGCTGCTCCTCATGGGACTTGTGCTCCAGACCAGCTCTGCTGTCCTTCTCAGGACCCACTCCAGCAACTGAATGTCCTTCCTGAAGTGAGGGGCCCGGAGCTGGACACGGCACGGTGAGTGCCCCAGCAGTGCGGAGGAGAGAGGAACGATCCCTGCCCGGTCCTGCCGCCACGCTATTGCTGACACAGGCCAGGTGACCCCAGCCTTCTTGGCCACAGCTGGCTCGTACTCACCCAGCCTGACTTATCATAGATCAGCACGCACAAGGAAACTTGATAACATTTCCTGAGCGATGTATGAGACTGCAACAGCCTGACCGCTTACCGAAGTGCGGCGTGCTCCGGGAGTGCTGCGGGCCCCGCCAGCCCGCTGCAGCCGTGACACACTCGTTAAACGGTAACACCCCGCAGCTCCTCACCAGGAGTCAGCACGCTGCCGGCGGCCCGGGCGCACGGCGGGGCTCCCAGCCGCGGGCAGCATGGTTGAAGGAAGCTGCCGGCACTGCCCAGCCGGGTCCGGAGCGGCCGGCCCGGGACAGGGCCGAGCTGAACAACGCGATCGCGGCAGCCCGGGCTCTGTCCCGCCCGCACATCCGTATCCCCCGCCGCCGCCGCCGATTGGCCCGGCCCGCCGCGGTCCCGCCCACTGCGCGCCGATTGGCCCGACCCGCCCGGCCCCGCCCCCGCCGCCGCTCACTGGCGCAGGCCGGCACGTGACAGGGCCAGAGCTGCGCCGGGCGCCAAATTCAAACCGGGGCCGCGCCGGGAGCGCCGGGGTCGCCGCCACAGCCCTGCATCGGCCCTGCCCCGGCCCGGCAGCTGGTGAGTCCCGACCGCAGCCCGCCGCCATCCTCCAGGGAGCCTGGCAAGGGTCGGCACCCCTCGGCGGGCCGCGCTAAGGTCACCGCGCGGGCGGGAGAGGGCAGGGCCTGGGCTCGGCCGGGGCGGCAGGCCCCGCGGGAGCAGGTGAACCCGCTGGCCGGGGCGGCAGCGCAGGGGCTGGAGCGGGGGAAGGAGGAGGGGAGCGCTTTGGCGCTGCCCTCCGTGCTTCCTCGGGCAGGGCGCACACAGCGGTGCTCCCGGGCCCGTGCGGGGGTAGCAGATCAGGGCCTCCCTGGGAAGTGACGCGCTCCTGTTCCTGCTCTCGGGAACGCAGCCTGGGGGAGCTGGCGCGGGGCTCTTCCTTCGGCGCTGCCTCTCCTTAAGGGGGTGGAGCAGATCGCAGAGGGCCATGCTTGTGCCGGCTGCCAGAACCCGCGTGGAATGATCGCCGGGCTGGCTGCTCCCTGTGCATAGGGCATCAGCTCAGCTTGTTATCTGCTGCACTCTGCTTTGTATCAATGTGGGGCATTCGTACTGAGAATTTGCTCGTTTACCTGCTGACCTCGTTGAATCTACCAATGCAAAAGGCCTCTTTTTTCTTGTTATTTGTTTCTATTCTGCTTGCCATCTCTAATGATAAGCAATAAGTACAATTTGCATATTGTTCAGGTATTGTTTGCAGAAAAGCACAGACTGTACCGAATTCCTGATGGCATTATTTGTAGTATTCTCACAGCATGTTACCCTGGAAGCAGTATCTGAATTTTATTTCCTCTGCTTCCTGCTTTATAGTCTAAACCACCTCTTGTCCAACAGTTTGACATCAAAATTGTATGCTGCCCAATGATGACTTTATGTCAAATCTTAACAAATCTATGAAAGGAATTAGAAGTACATTTACTTGGTGTCTAGCTTAAAGCACCTTACTTCTGCTGCATTTATTGTGTGCCTTTGTAGTGTTCAGGGTAATCTCTGCTTCCCAGGTCTTAAACCATCTGTAAATACCCTTTTCACACAGGTTGTGTAATCTGCTGTTAGAGCAATCAACTGTAAGAATCAGCCCTGCTATTTCTATATTCTACCTCGTCTCCAGCTTGCTGGCTGATGCTGGTCACATTATAGCTAAGTTTTTCTGTAAAGCACATACACACTTTGCTCATTATAATGTACTTTGTGATGCAAGTTATCTACTCTGCAGATCTCTCTCCCATCCTGCTTACACAAGGTGTGGGTTAGGGAGGTATGATTTCTTAGTAGCCTTGTCAGCCTTTCAATTTCAATTTCCCTTTTGTGTTTCTAGCTTTGTAGCAACTGCTGAGAATGTGTGCTCTGTGGGAGGTCTTGAGATGATTTGCTGCAGCCTTTATGTTGTACCTTTTGTTTTGCAGGATTTGTTCCTCTCCCTTTCAATGGAGAGTGACAGTATAGACCAATAATGAGGACCAGCCCTCGCAGGCCCTTAATTCTCAAAAGACGAAAACTGACCCTCCCACAGAACGATGAATCCAGTACTTCAGCGAGAGATGAGAACAGAGGTCAGGATGAAAAGGCTCCTAAGCAGGAGCACAGACAGGAAGACCAACACAGCAGACAACCCAGAGATAAAAAGGACTGTGGCCTGCAGAAATTCCCAGCAGGAATAAAGATAATTGACCACCCTACAATGCCCAACACCCAGGTGGTGGCCATCCCTACAAATGCTGATATCCAGAGCATCATAGAGGCATTGACAGCAAAAGGAAAAGAGTGTGGCAACAATGGACCCAACAAGTTCATTCTCATCAGCAGTGGGGGCACATCCCGCTCAGCTGGTCCAGCACCATCGCAGCACCTCCCATCAGAGAAGAAAGCCAGTGCAGCCATCAAGGCTGCAGTTAGCCAAGAAAGAGAGAAGAATGCTGCACAGACACCTGGTCTTGCAGGCAGTACAGCGCTCTGGCATTCAGGAGTTGATCCTGTGGCTGGACAGGAGCAGGAGACCAACAGTATGTAGCCTTTACCTTTTTTCTTGTCTTGGCAGACAAAGAGATGTGAAATGGGCCAAGGAGTGCACCACTTGCATCTTGGTTTGCAGTAATTATTAATATTTTGTTAATTACAAAATATCTGTGGATTGGATTTTAATAATCTACATAGCTTTGCATACGTAGTGAAATCTGAAGGATTACAGTGGACATATTTTTTTGGTGGGAGACATCTGAGCTTCTGACTTCAGTTTTGTGCTGTCTATTTCTTGAAGTACTAGATCAACATTGCCCTGTTTTGGTTGACAATAGTCTGGTTTAAGTGTTCTTTAGGCTGTAGCTCTTTTCAGAAATTGGTCATCTATGCATAATTAGGAATTCAAGGTGAATTCCTTCCACAATATTAGAGTTGCAATGCCATCTTTTAGCAGTGTGACTGGTGCCTTCTTTTTGACAGCTGAGATGAAGGAGTAGCTGAGTTACTTGTGGGAAAGCAGGGTTATGACAAGCTGTAGCCTACCTGGGCTTGAGTAAAGCCTTTGGCACTGTCTCCCACCCCATTATTCTGGAAAAGCTGGCAGCCCCTGGCTTGGTCAGGTTCACTCTTCACTGGGTTAAAACTGGCTGGATGTCTGGGCCCAGAGAGTGGTGCTGAACGGTGCTGCAGCCGGCTGGTGACCAGTCTCTGGTGGGGTTCCCCAGAGCCCCAGGGCTCAGGGCTGGGGCCAGTCCTGTTCACTCTGGATATCAATGATCTGGATCAGGGGATCAAGGGCATCCTCAGTAAATTCACAGATGACACTGAGCTGGGTGGGAGTGTGGATCTGCTGGAGGGCAGGAGGGATCTGCAGAGGGATCTGGACCAGCTGGAACCATGGGTCAAGGCCAATTGCATGACATTCAATAAGACCAGGTACCAGGTCCTGCAGTTGCATTGCAACAACCCCAGGCAGTGCTACAAGCTGGGGGAAGAGTGTCTGGAAAACTGCTCATCAGGAAAAGGCCTGGGAGTGCTGGTCAGCAGCAGCTGCACATGAGCCAGCTGTGCACAGGTGGCCAAGAAGGCCAATGGCACCTGGCCTGTACCAGCAATGGTGTGTCCAGCAGGACCAGGGCAGAGATTGTCCCCCTGTGCTTGGCACTGGTGAGGCCACACCTTGAGTTCTGTTTTCAGTTTTGGGTCACTCATGTCAGGAAAGACATTGAGGTGCTGGAGGCTGTCCAGAGAAGGACAACAGAGCTGGTGAAGAGTCTGCAGCACAAGTCTGATGAGGAAGAGCTGAGGGTGCTGGGGGTGTTCAGCCTGGAGAAAGGGAGGCTCAGGGGGAGCCTTATCATCCTCTACCACTGCCTGAAAGGAGGCTGTAGAGCAGTGGGGGTTGCCTTCTTCTCCTAGACAACAAATGACAGGACAAAAGGGCAAAGCCTTAAACTGTGCCAAGGAAAGTTCACATTGGACATCCTGAAGAATTTCTTCCCTAAAAGGGTTGTCAAGCATTGGAACAGACTGTCCGGGGAGGTTTGGAGTCACCATCCCTAGAGGTGTTCAAGAAACAACTGGATGCTGCAGTCAGTGCCACGGTCTTGTTGATAAGGTGGTGTTTGGTCACAGGTTGTACTTGATGGTCTTGGAGGACTCTTTTCACCTAAATTATTGTGTGATTGTTACGTGGGCTTGTTATCCCAACAGGCAGTGGCGAGACAATGAGCTCCGTGTTGGACAACAGCCTCACCAACATCCAGTGGCTGGGGAAGATGAGATCCGATGGGCTAAATCCCTCTTCTGTGAAGGAGGACACAGAGAAAGAGAATCAGATGCCTCTGCGGGAAAGAGTCAAGGTAAGTAGGAGAATACGAGAGCATGTGCTAAAACTTTTGATAAGGCAGTAATCTATGTGGATCAGAATACTTGCAAGAATTAAGCATTGCTATTTCTAAGTAACCTGAGTTTGACCTTTACTGATATGAATAGCAGAATCCAGAGGATCCAGGGATGTTCCATGGGCCTTCTTGTCAGCTTCATGAACATTCATGTATCACCCTTTCTGTCTTTCAGACTGAAGAGGAAGCTGCTGCTGCTGCTGTTCCTACTGCTGCTGAGTCCTCCTCATGGCAGGATTCGGTGTCAGAACGACCTCCTTACTCCTACATGGCCATGATCCAGTTTGCCATCAACAGCACGGAGAAGAAGCGCATGACCCTGAAG